TAGGAGAAATTACTCCTCCCCCCCCCCCTCCAAAAAAAAAAAAAAAAAAAAAAAACACATAGCATAAGTCAACGGGAGAAGAAACAAACTGATGACTTGCAAAGTAGACTTGACTCGACAACATGAGAACAAGCTTGAAAGGCTTATTGGCTTGACTCAACCTCAACAAGATAACAGTTCAATGGATTGCGAAGTAGGCTCGACAGAGTAGCAAGCTTTATAGGCTCAACACGATGACAACTAGGGCTTGCAAGGTTGTGATTACAAGAGAAGTTAGGGCATGCGAGGGCTTGGGAGATTGATAGAGAAGAGAGAAGAAGCTTGCAAGGCAGGCAGGGGCTCCAACCAAGGCTTGCAATACTTGAAATCTTTCAGTTTTGGGCTAAAAACCTCATAGCGCAAAAGCACATATATCGCACATACATACATAACACATACAACGCTTGCAACAGCTCGCAAAGTAGTGCTCACTATGCTATGGCTGAAATATAACGAGCATTGTTGTAGCGATGCATAGTAAGTGTTATAGCGCATTATTCATAACTATGAACGAGAGTAAAAGAAGTTACCTACCTCACAAAACCCTAATATATATATATATATATATTATATAAACTAACTAGGATCTTTCTGTACTACTCTTATCATAGGCCTAAAATTCTTCGTAATATAACAATTTCTAAAATAGGAATAGAGCTAAAGGAATAAATGTTTACGACATAAAATTGAGTGTTTCAAATTCTAGGAAGCCGTTCTTTCAATCTCATAAGTATATATTTTTATAACTGAAACATATGACGTAAACAAATCCAAATAGTTTTTTTTGAAAGAAATCAAATAGTGTTTTTTTTTTGTAACTTTTATAAGGATCTATTTAGTAGAATTGACTTTTTGCACATTGGTTTATCAAAGGTAGACTTATTTGTGCTCATTAATTATACTTAAAGGCTTAATATGTTAGAAGTTAACAGTTAATGACTTTTCAAGTTTTTAATTATATTCAATAGCAACTAATAAATTAAATGTAAAAGTCAATAATTTACAAGAATTAAACATGCGACTTACAAGAGTCAAACCTTTTTATGTAATAACCAAATACAGGGAAAAAAAAAATGCTGGTGGGGTGCTTCACCTAATCGGCAGGCTCTTAAATTCCCCGATGTAGTCTCGCCTTCTGCCTGCCTTTGCAGCTTCTGTCCACGTGACACACGCACTGACGGATGCACAACAAGGGAGGGGGGCTGTTGTTTTAAAAATTTTGTAAAATAAATGAATATTAAAGTAAATTAATATATAAAAATAATTTTTGCCTCCAGGCAAAAAATTATAGCCCTCTCAAGAAGACTTATTTGTATAAATTTAAAAATTAAAGAAAAAATTAAATTAAAAAAATTAAAAATAATAATTTAAAGTATGTAATAATTATTTATTAATTATTTTAAATACACCCTCACAAATGTTATTTATTAATTATTTTATTCTTATTTATTTATTGTATTTGGATATCCCTTAAGTGACTTGCAAATATAAGTTTTATATTGATTATTTTTTTTTTTTTTTCAAATCGCTTTGAGAACACAAAAGAAATAGTGAATTAATTATTTACATCTAATGTAGACAACAAAAAAGAAAAAAAAAAATATCTAGAATGGTAGTCTTCATTTGTAATAAAACAAAATACTAACAAAATATTAATAATATATTTCAAATCAGATAACAAATTGATGTATCAGTGAGACTAGACATTTTCAAGTCTAGTTATATGTCCATACTTATAATTAAGATTATTATGGTTAGAATTATTAATTTTAAAGACTTATGAAAACTATACCCTATTTAGTAATAATTATTTCTTTCTATTAAATATAAATAAATTAAGTTAACATATTATACTCTGTAATTAAAATTATTAAAAATTATCATAAATAAGAAAATAATTTAAAGAAATGCCAATTTAGAGAAATGCCAAGACTTAAAGTATTGCATAAAAAATAATTAATATATAAAAAAATGACATACTCAATTTAAATAAATACATAATTAGTTTATTTTTATATAATTTTACGTTAAAAATGAAAAAATATTTAATTAATTATATTTTTTTAATATACTTAACTTTTATATTTATTCTCGCCTCCTTTTAAATAAATCTTAGATACGTTAGTGGATACACGTAAACATCTCTCTCTCTCTGGGGTCTGGTTTAGAAGGTGTCTTCTGTTGGTTGCAATAAAGGGCCATCAGTGCAGCCAACGAGCCACAGGTCCTACCCAGATGGATCCCCAGCAGAAGGAACCCACCAATCACCAACTCCCAAAGTAAAGGGGATTGAGTTAAAACTTGAATCGCCTCCTTCCAACAGTTATTTCATAACGGTACACATGCACAACGATATCATCACATGAGCTTCTAATGATATTGATCCCTTCAAATTTCAAATTCTAACAGTTAAGTGCTCGTGGTGATGATCAAAAGCCAGAATTATTTTATATTACTCTAAATGATAGTGTTTTCCTCTGTTATAGTAAGATAAGATCTATTATAATATATATATATATATATATAAATTCTATTTTACTGTTAATGAAAATAATACTACCATTAAAAATAGTATCAAATAAACTCAAAAAATAAATAATACTGCTATTAAAAATAGTACCAAATAAACTCAAATAATTTTCAAAACATGGTGTCATCGACATAAGGAATTATGTACAAGAAAAGGGGGAAAAAAAAAAAGGAAGAGAAAAGGAAGGGGATAATGACCACCTTGTGGGGTGTTTTTTTGCCCCTTTTCTGTCTTTGTTATTCAGTTTTTAATTCCTTAAAAAAGTTTATATTTAAAAAAGAGGAAAAAGTCTGAAGTCAGCTTTTTTTATTTTTTAACTTAATGGGCTTTTTTAGGTTATATCAAATAAAGTCCAAACTTGGGGCTTCTTGTTTTTCAATATGGCATCAACTTTAAAGAGCTACACATCATAATTGTAAGTGAACACACAATACCAAACCAAAAAGTCATACCTTTTTCCCAAATAGTTGAACGCCTATAAAATAGTCAGTTTTGTTCTTTAACCCAAAAAAAAGGCCAGACATTTCAAAAAGCTCATGATCTAATCAATTTTTGAAGGTGGTGTTTATAATTATTTTTACAACTGAAAAAGTAAGAGTTTGAAGTAATAGTAAGTGACAGTGATTGCAAAAGCAAAGTTGGATATTTGCAAAAACATATTACAAAGTGGAAAAAAAAATAAAATCAGCATTTGGAATGTAACTTGTGTAATTTGCTAGTGAAAAAAATCTGAAAAAAAAAAAATAAGGGTAATTTTGGAAATTCAGAGAACAAAAATGTCCAAAATAACTTACTACTAAAAGTACACTTTCATATATCTCAATTTTTTATTCTACTTTCAGGAGCTTAAATGAAGGAAGGTAGAAGTAAAATTGCAATTTTCAAACACAAAAAGAATTGCTTCCCTGTAGCAGCTTACCAAAAACTGTTACAAACACCATCTAAGGCTTATTTGGTCTCTTGGTTTTTAGAGTTATGCTTTCCATTCTTTAACTTGAGTGTAAAAAATAAGATGTCATGTCTTTCAAATTTTTAGTAGTCTAAAAAGACGAAAGGTTCTAATATTTTAATTATTATATTTTTGACTTAAAAGTTGGAGTAGATAAAAAGTTAACCAATCAAAACAAAACCAAAGTTACATGTTTTGAATACAGAAGCTCAATTTATTAGGTACCAAACAGTCCCACAATCCCTCTGCCATATTGATTTCTATTTGACAGAGGTGGTTATGATGATTTGGGGAATTGAGTGCGGTAGACCCCAAATGAAAACTAGCCAGTGAGCCAAACACAGCTGGTGTGAACTCTGAAAGTGACTTTACAACCAATTATGTGTTAGGCTCCGAAGTCTTCTTGGCTTCAGAATCCAGCTTTTTTCTCAATCCGAAGTAAATTATAGTCTGCTTTCACATCCAGATCCCCAAATAAACAATTTTACTTGTCCATGCGTTTAAGGCTTGTTTGGTTTTCCACTTTATCCCTTACCTTAATTGCAATAATTTTTTTCAGCTACCTTACCTTATCTTCGACGTGCCAATCAAAATGACACATACGAATACACATTGCCTGTACTGTACTTAAATTATTGAATACTAACCCATGAAAAATAGTAAAAGAATTTGACATCCAAAATATATCTCGGAATTTTTTGTTTATAAAATAAATTTTCTCCAGATCAATAAATTAAAAAAAATCAATCCTGATATTTTTAACTTTTTCAACATACAAAAAAAACAAATAAAAAATAAAAATTGATATAAAATTATAAAATTCTAACTTTTAACTTTTTCAAAACTTATCCAATTTTGAATATAAGAAGTCAATTCCGGCCAGCTCTTCCCCATATCCTTTTAGAACAAGTGTGCAAATTGTCTTGTGAAAACTTAAAAATCAAGAAACAAAAACACTCTTGTCCTATTCTTACGCGTACAATTAAAAACACGCCAAACCAAATCTTCGTTTGTGCGTTCTCTGAGGTGGACCAATTAAAAAAAAAAAAAAATCTTCATCCTGACTGGTTGAGAAGAGAGAGAGAGAGAGAAGAGAGAGATGTGGTTGTAAAAGTGAAAGTATGCAGAAGTAATTTAAGTTGCAGTACTGGCCCAAATGAGAAGCAAACTAAGATTTTCAACAGAAGTAAATTAAGGTGTATCTTCTTTAGAAGCCTCTTTGAACTTCAAAGGGTACATAGAGCTTGATGGGTATGACAGGAAAATTAAAAGAAATTAAATTTACAGCTTTTATGACACAGACAGCAGCAAGTCTCTCCTTAACTAAATGCCATGCAGAACCCTAGCTGGTGCAGATAAATTAATTTAACCTTGTTGCCAATCAAAGACCAACTATCCAATCCCCATAACAACACAATTAACATATATATATATATATATATATATATATATATTAAGGTAGTGCCCAGCTAAGTAAAACCCTAGATTTAGAGCTTCACGATTTCCGGAATGAAAACGGGTACCTATCAATGCAATCTTGCCACGGACTGTCTGTTGGTGCACTGATACTCGGTTACACTTCCAAACCGCGCTGTTGCACTTAAATCCGCTGCCAAAAGCAATTTGCCAGATCCTATCCCCTTCTTCATCCTCCCTTAGCTTCAATGTAATTCAGCTCATACACAAGGAAGACGATGAAGTGTTGCCAAAACGGTGCAGGGTCATCCGGAAGCCTCCACGTGTTCGGCCGAGAGTTGGAGGTTCTTCTGGAGCTCGTCGATCACCGCCCTCCCACCGGCGTGAATGCAAAAATGATCGAAAGCCTGTTTAAAGTCTGGAATGTAGGGCTTCCATTTTGGGTTGAAGATTCCGGCCGATTAGGGTGAAGAGGAAGAGGAGCTGCTCGGACGCGGGCAGTACCAGTGGTCCTATAGTGGTGATGTTGGACTTGAGGGCTCGCCAGCGATCACCATGAGGTCCTTGGAGAGTCTAATTCCTACCTTGCCCTGGTCATCCTTTCTCGAACACGCACTTGTAGGCCTTGTCGTCGGCCCCCTTGTGGGTGCGCACCACATGGACCAACGGTACTTGGCGCGCCGGCGCTCCCGGCGCTTGTTGGAGAGAAGGATGGCAGCTGCGCCCATCCTGAAGAGGCAGTTGGGGAGGAGCATGGCTCGTTCTTGGCCCTTGTAGTAATTCGGCGTGATGATTTCCGTGCTTACGACGAGAGCATAGGAGTTGGGGTAGGCTTGGAGCAAGTCTCTTGCTAAATCGATCGATATGAGCCCCGCACTGCAACCCATGCCGGACAAGTTGAAACTCTTAACGTTGCTACGGAGTTTGTACTGTTGAAGAAAAACAAACCAAAAAAAATCCCCTGAGAAATTATAACACCTCAAAAAAATACTTAATGATCAGGCAATTTCATAGGTTACAAAATTTTAAAACCCAATTAAGAAGTGAGTCCGACATCCATTAATGATCCAACATCATCAGTTTTACAGAAAAGTCTATGTATTTATTCTATATATTTTTATTTTATGAAAATAAAATTTAAAAATTACTGTTCATAATTAAATAAAATAAATTAAAAATAGTGAATATAGTCAAAGATCTTTTGACCGTATCACTTGGGTCCCACCATAACCTCAGAAAAAGGTAAATAGAGCTATCTTGCATTATTAACATGATCACTAATCATGTGTTGAGCTACCAACAAAAGTAGAAGCGTAACTTCATACTTAATATCCAGCCTACCTTGTTGACGACCATGGCGGAGAGCGATGGAGTAGGCGAAAAAAGGCTGCAGTTCACAATAAGAATATCAATGTCCTTCGGCTTGATCCGTCTTCTTCATCAACGCATCAATCGCCGAGAAAATTACGATCTCAGCCTCGCCACGCGCCGCTTCCATGGTTGGATTCGGAGGAATATAATGTATAGCGGGGGCAAGCACGTCTCTTCCCAGCCCGGACCTCTCCAGTATCCGCATCTGAAAGTCCACGCTCTTAGGGCAGTCCTTAAGGATCAGCTTCGAGTGTTCCATGAAAGTGGCGAACGGCACCCGACACGTGACCGGCGGCTTGTAGCATGAGTAGTCCACGAGGTAGACGGAGCGAGGCTTCGACATGAAGTAGATGGTCGTGACGAACACAGCGAGAAACGCAGAGCAGAGCACGTGGACGAGGTCGAGCTGCCGGAGCGAGAGCCAGACTGCGAGGAGGTCCTCGGGGCCCGCGCGGAGGAGTTCGACCGCTACAGCCAGCATGACAGGGACTAGCAGGAACGCGAGGATGTGGTTGACCAGGTATTGATAACCAAGCTTCACGTACTTGAGCCGCACGGAGGCGGAGAAGTCCGGCAGGACCTGCGGCATGCTTGGAGAGTGAGGGAATCTTACAAAAAGAAAATAAGAACTCTAAAGAGAGAGCTAGGAAGGAAAAGTGTCTGTCGGGATAGAGGGAGGGGGAGAGGGGAGGGAGATTTAAAGGCTAGAAAGGAAGGAGAGGAGGGCAATGAATGGAGGCAGATGAGCGGAGTTAATGAAGAGCTTCACGTCACACAACGCTCTCTTAGCTGGAGTTTTTATAACCTCTTCTCCCTCTCACCAAAATCACAAAATGAAACCAACCTACTATTGTTCTCTTAAATAAATTAATGAGTGTTTGATTTAAAAAAAAAAAAAAAAAAAAAAAAAAAAACTTAATTATTTTTGAACAAGAATTTTTTAAATTTTCTGATTCTTTTTGACAGTTCCCTTCGAAATCCAACTGCTCAGAAAGAAATTTTTATTTTATTTAATTTGGTTGGGTTTGTAAGTGATGGGTTGTGTAGTTTTGCTTAGTTCTTCAAGCAAGCTCTACTAGAAGTCTCATGTCCATGGAGGGTAAACTACATGTGGTGAAGAGTTGCTGGATTAGTCCAAGCTTCCCAAGTTGTACCGTACCTAATGACCCATTTGGGTTTGACTTGGTAGTGTTGGTGGATTAACGTTGTAAAGGGTTTTTGTTAGTCGTGAAGCATCCTAACTTGTTCACGCCAATGATGGGACAGCAATGAAGTTGGAGCAGAAGCCAACTAAAGTTGTGAGGGTTATTGACAAATTTGTGGAAACATAGCATGTGGGATGGGATTAGACAAATAATCAATGAGATAAGTAAGAGATTAGGTGGTTTTATGAAATTTTTTTATTACATTAAAGGGAGCTAAATATGTCTAAGCTTTGGATTGTAAAATATAAGAGATGTGAACGAATGAGATCAGTAATTATTTTGATAATTAGATAATGTATTAAAGAGATTTTCAAATTAATTTAAGAGACCATAGAAATAAAATTTGCATTTTTTTCCAACTTAAGATGTGTGTACGCATCGCCAAATTGAAGAAAACGTAATTGAGGAGAAATTATAGAAGGCCAAGTCACATAATAGCTAGGAGAGGGGACCTTTAAAGGGCAATTCTTAGTAGTTTGCATGGTAGCGTCCTAACTAATAGCATTAAGTCCCTGATTATTACAATCACATTATTAGTCCTTCTTTTTCTTTTTCCAAGAATCAAATCATTATTATCTGATATTTAAATATGGCGTTATCAAAACGGGTCAGATCTAAATTAAATAAAATAAATTTGAATTTGTAATTATTTTTATACTTAAATTTGATCTAAAATTTTAAAAAATTTGTATTTATTAAATTATATACGAATCTATAAAAATTTGAAATCTGATAAAACAATTCGATCAGATAAAAAAAATAATATTTTTTATATTTAAATCTATTAACTCTAGTTCATCAATGATATTGACTCTTAAATTTTTATAATTTTCTGAATTTTGTCATTTAACTTTAAATTTGTTAATATTATATATAAAAATTGTTAATTTAAGTAAAAAATACTATTAAAATTTAGATATAATCCTTAATAAATTGAATTACTTAATTTCATATCTACTTTACAAATATTTATAATCAGGTCTAATATATCAAATACTTTAATCAGATTTAAATTCCAAATTTTAGATCAAATTCAGTTCAAATTCGAATTAAAATCTAATCTATTAACAATCTTATTTAAATACTTCTTTGGCAAATATAAGAAAAATAATCAAATATATTATCATTCATACATAATTTATAAATCAAATTTATCTTTATTAGTCATTATAAGCGTCACATCAAATCCCAAGTGGATAATTAAAACTTTGGAGGTTGGGGTGGTTGTAAGTTATGGTTGAGTATCTTAATTAAGTCCGGTCCCCATTTGGCCATGTGTTTAGTTCATATAATGGATTCCCTAGAGTGTGCCCAACTTCTAATTAATCACGACAAAACACGAAAGATTTAGAAAAAGAAAAGGTTGAAAAAAATATAACTAGGAGAAGAAAGAGACTAGGATTGTGTAAGGAATTAAAAATTGGTTATTAAATGTGGGCTAATATTATTAATCTCTAAATAGTCCAGAGATTGGGAAAATTAATTGTAGTCAATTACTTGGACCTCCTATAGCACTAATTGATCGTCTCGTGATTATACATTACTTTGAGTAGTGGCATTTACAAAATTATCCATCATTAACAGTCATATTTAATATTCCCCCCCCCCCCCTCCTTTGAATCCTTAATTCCAAATTAAATCATCTGATTGATTTCTATTTCAAAATCTATGAGCAAAAAATATAACTTACAGACAAAAAGCAAAAGCAAGTATTGTGGATACCCCATCAAATAGAAAGAAATAAGATGACTAAGATATAAAGTGTAGTATTACAAATTTAAAAAACTAATTTTTTTAAAAAAAGATAATGACTTTATAACAACAAATACTGTGGTAAACTCTTGAGACATTAATCCAACAAGGAGGAGGCGGGCAAAGTGATAGGAAACTGTTGAATCTTAATTTGTCAAAAGTTGCATTGGAAGAGATTGTCATAGATCCTGTATAGTGCTACACATTCTAATGTATCGATTTTTTAGGAAAGAGTAATAGTTTTGTGACAAAAAAATAATATATATCAAAAACAAATATGAATGGAATATAATATGTTAATTTGATTCATAAATATTAAATTTATTTTTCATATGCTATAAAAACTATTGGGCATAAATTAATTCAAAATCATTTTAATTTATTTCTAATATTTTCTAATCATTTTAATTCAAAATCTAATTTTTTATGAAAGAAAAATATATTAATTTTTTTAGTGTTTGATGTATCTTATTTATTTTAAAAAATTATATAAATACAAAATAAAAATATAGATATTCCTATCATTTTTTCCTTTGTCACTATATATTTAATTTAAATACCTAAAAAAAATAATAAATAAAGCTTTTATTGACTTTTGATTTTTTTATCTTAAAAATATTTATAAAAAATAAAAAAATTAATTCCAACATTCCTCATCCCGACCAACGTTTTCTGGAAACTGTCTAATTTGTATCAACTGACAACGAGGGACACGTCATCATCTCGTAGGGGAGGTAGACACGTGGCTTCACGTTTTGGTTGTGCGCCTCATTTTTGCCGACTAATTAAAGTCTTCTTTAATGCGTCTTCCCTTTTCGTATTTTTTCCATTTGCCACATCAGTTGCATATCATGCCATACCAAATTTACCCCGCAAAGTCAACAGCTTTTACTAAATATTTTTACAAATTTCTAAAAATAGATACTGAAATGTGCTTTTTATATTTCGGTATTCGCAAAATCCTCCCTCGCCAATTCACATCTGGGCCACGCGGGGTAAACTAGCTTTTTATAGATAGAATTGTCTACAATCAGTCAAAAATATATTGACAATATTTATTTTTAACCGCTTATTTCATTAAAAATTTATCTCAACTGTTAAGAGCAACTTGAGATTACAGTATTTAATGAAATGACTAAATTATCTTCACTTTATTTTTATATAATCTTATTTTTTAAATAATAAAAAATAAAGTACATTAATGTTTTTCCATTTTTTTTTAATTAATGACGGGTTGCCCCTTTCGTTTTCTGGGCAATTCGACAGCAAAGTCATCCGCAAGACGGTGGTCTGGGCAAATGTCGGTTCTCTCGAAGTCTTTGTTTAACCGGCCGCCAAAGGGATGACCAGTAGCCGTCGATCCGTTCACAGGTGTTAGTTACCGTCGGTTAAGGGCAGCAAGGTCATTCGCAGGACGGTGGTCTGGGCAAATGACGGTTCTTTGGAAGTCTTTGGCTGAACCGGCCGCCGAAGAGATGAGCAGTGGCGTCGATCCGTTCACAGGTGTTAGTTACAGTCGGTTAAGGAAGGTAAAATGTAAGAAAAACAAGAATCGGGGGTAAAAGAAAAAAAGAAAAAAAATTCCTGCTGGAGCCAACGACCATGCACGCAAACTGGGACTTGGCTTGTTTTGAAAGAACACCTCCGGCTTAATATTTTGACAATCATCTCCAATTAAGTTATTTTTACAACACCTACTACTACTATCTTTTTGTTTCTTTTTTCTCCTATTTAAGGAGTGTAGTTGACTATTTTTTTTCCTTCAAATAAATTTCGGCTCAAAGTCAAAGGTATTTTAAGGTTGAAATGAAAAATTTTAACAATAGAATGGATGACATCACAGCGAAACATATATGAGAATGATCAATTTACAACAAATATAAATGTAAAAATTTATATCAAATTTTATACCGCTGATTTGGTCAAAATTAATAGACGAAATAAATTAATTGTAAATTAATTATTTGAAGTTATAATTTGCAGTTAATTAATTTTATTCGTTAATTTTGACCAAATCAACGATATAAGATCTGGCGTAAATCTTTTACACTTACACTGATAGCAATTAATCCATTCTCAAAATATAACTATTATATTAGATCTATTGAAACTACGATATTTTGTAGGTCGAGAAGCAATTTTTGAAATAATTTAGAAATTATTTTGGTTAGTTTATTGGAAACATGCTTCAAGGATTTACACTCTCAGTTGAAAAACATGCAAGCTTTTCACCAAATAACTAAAATTATTAGAAAATAACCTCAAGTTTTTTTTTGGATCCATTTACCAATGCTTATAGGCAGGTTTTATTTATAAACAATAAAAGAAGTTTGATATTTAATCTGTATCATTTTTTTTTTCAGTAAGTATTAAAGAAGAGACTCACTTTGGCAACATTGAACTTTTCATTATGGTCCAATCTTCATTTTCTCTTTCTTGGAATTGTGTTTAATCAAGAAGAAAATAGTCGGTTTCAATTTGATTCAATTTTCATTTAAACAATTTGGCACACACTGATAATCCATCCCTCATAAAAATTTAAAAATAAAAATCAAACCTACGATATGACATTGTGGCCAAAATTACATATATACAAATCTAAATGCACATACGTACCACATAGACCAAGCTACACAAGAACTTGAGCAGAA